AGAGAAAGGACACGGAGGTCCCAGCGTGCGCAGTGGCTGCTGGTGGGTCTAACAGTGCACACATCTAAAGCTCAGTCCGCTCCACTGGGGTCCCCCCATCTCTCCTGCATCAGAGCTGCCAGCTTTGGTTCAGCTGAGCCCAGGCTCTGGGAGGAGGGAACCCAGCAGTAATCACTGACCCCACCACCATTAGGGTAGGATAACCCGTGTCTGGGGCCAGGTCCTAAACCTCACCATGACCAATTGAAGGAGGAAAAGAGGAGGTCAGGCAAAGCAGGGAGCATCTGCTGCTGCACCTCCCGCTTCCTTCCCCTTTTACACCCTTTTGAAGGTGCCTGGGCTCTGCCGCACCCCAACCAGGTGACTGGTCCTACCCAGGCCACCTAAACATCACTGTGCACCTCTCCCTTCTATTGCTGAGTGTAAAGAAAAGTCCTCTGGGGTGGGTTGGTGGCTGCTGCCTGCCACGAGAAGCACTGCAGCACCGTTTGGTCCTTGTGTCCCTGTCCCAGCGTGGACACAGACGCCAACAGCCATCCCATGGGACAAAGAAAGTGCTGGTTTGTGACCTGTTCTTGCACGGCCCTGATTGAGCAGCGTCTACTGGATCACACAGGAGAGATTGTCTCCGAAACAACAGGGGCAAGAAGAGGAGGCGACAGGTTTCGGAGGGATGAGATCCAGATCCTCATCATCGGGGACCTCGTCGAGGTGGTACCCATCCTGCAGCAGCTGCCGGCTCAGGTCCTGGTTCACCTGCTGGGGGGGACACGGAGGAGGTTCAAATTAGTCCTGGTTTGGTTCAAGTTTAAGGCTTGCAAAGGGAAGGGCTGCGAGCAAGAAGGGCATCGCTTCCTGTCTCCAGTGCCTTTCTATGGGGAGAAGCAGCACAAACAGAGAAGGAGAAAGCAAAAGAGCAGAGAGCTTCTCCTGGGGGGCAGCACCCCAACACACACCCCTCCACAGAGCCTCAAGGTGTTGGGGAGCAAGGGAGCCACATCAGCCAGAGCCCCGCACTTGCCTCAGCGGAGGAGTAGCCTGAGGAACATCTGGATCCTGGCTCCTCGTCACTAAGGGAAGAAGGACACGGTAAGAGCCAGCCGGGAAGCAGCATCTTTGTGTGGGATGCACACAAGGGAATCTCAGGGGGGATGGAGGAGAAGACAGTTCTGAGCCAAATCCCAAAATCCCAGGATATTGCCCCAATCCGCACCTATCCGAATCGAGGGAGAGCAGGTTCTCATCCGCCGTCTGGCTCAGCGCCGTGTAGCCCTTGTTAAACTTGACTGACCTGCGGGGAAGCAAAGAGCCGGCCCATGACAGGCATTTTGGTGTGGGAACCCAGCCCTGGAGCTGATGGATTGAGGAGCCAAGGCAGGGATCCCGGTCCTGACCCTTCCTTCCCAACCAAGGCCACCCACTGTGAATAAACCCTAGCAAAGCTCTAGGCTTAGCTCCACACCAAACCATCCCCAAAACAAGGAGGAGGAGGAGCGTGCCCCCTGCTAGAGCAGCTCCTGTTGCTGTATCAGATGCTTGCTGGCCACAGCAGAGCCAGCAGAGAAGCTCCTCATCTCCTTTTGGGGTATCCCAGTCTCCCCGAGGAATGCAGAGAAGCAGAAACAGGCTCAAACCTTTTTGGTGCTGGTTTCGGGTTTGGCGCGGGTGCCCCCAGCAGCCCCTGCCTCCGCAGCGCCGCCTTCGCCAGCTCGCGCTGCCGCTCTGCAACACAGGGCAGAGCTGAAACACCTCAGCGCTCCCCGAGGGTCGTGCTTTGAGCCCACCAAGGAATAAACAAGGCTTTGAGAGGTGCAAGCAACTGCCCAAACCCCAGCAGAGCCCCTGGAGCATCACTTACTGAGCTTGGCGTGGATGGAGGGGGGTTTGCTCACGATGTACGGTCCCTTCTTCTCCACCGCATCCGCCGCCTTGCTCAGCCTCTTGTTTTCAGCCCACAGCAGCTACCAAAGTAGGGAACGACACACGATCAGTAGCACCTCTCTATGGGGATGAAGTAACACAGAGTCATCTCATCTGGTCATTCCTGGGAATTTCCACCCCAGCTCCAACTCCCCAGCCCTGTGCCATGCCCAGGGAAGCGAGAGGACAAGGAATAAACAGATCTATTAGAGGAGGAAGGGATTATTTGGGAACAGCAATGCTAAATTAAAAGCACACGTGGCGGCCAGCAGTTCCTTTGCAAGCCCAACTCCAATAATACCCTGGAGAAGAAGGGATGGAGAAGATTTAATGCGCAGGTTCATCAAATAGAATATAGGGATCGTTGGTTGTAGTTTCTCTGCAGGTTTTGAGCCTTTCAAGCTTCTCTTCACGCAGAATTAGAGGGAGCAGTTAAGGAAGCACCAAGGCAGAGGGCCTGCGGCAGGGATGGGACTGCACAGCCGGGATTAGCGTGTGCCTGAAGCTGGAATTAGCAGGGCATGGGAATAACCCTGCACACAGGGAGCTGTGGGATTAACCAGGCAGGCGGCAAACTGCTGCCCGC